TCATTATTATTTTGGATGCACTTCCTAAACAGAGACAAGAAGAAAGAGGAGGGAGATAATCACAGAGACAAACAAGCAGTCAAATGAACATAGTAACAAGTAAAGCCAAACAGAAAATACATTCTGTATTTAACATGCTCCAGCTCCAGGCCAACAAACAGCCCAGAACATAACCATGTGTAAAACCACATTTTCATTTTTGCAGGATTATTTTTCCAAAGGTTAAAAGAAACATGCTGAAACATTTTGAATTTTCTAACCTCTCCGTTTCCCTCTGATTGGTGAACTGCTCCTTTACAAGGAGGCCTGAGCTCTGAGTCACTCAGTGATACTGGGCCATCCTGAGAGTCATCCTGTGGGAATTTAAATATTAAAAGGTCTACAGGTGTGGCCAGCTGAGTATGACTGAGGTACAACGTGTATCGCCCGACAAAGAGATGACAGAGTAAACATGAAACACTCACAATAACCTGTTTTCCTCTGTATGGACTTATATGTTTACTTAAGTGTCCTAAAACCATGTATTTGTTTTAGAGGCTGTTCTAAATACTCTGCATCTCTGCCGACATTTCATGTGAAACTAAATTCTCGGTTCTCTTAATTAAACCAGTTTTCCATCTGCTCAGTCAAAATCATTCAGTCCTTCAAAATAGGCACGAACAGGTTTTTTTCTTTTTATGACACAGATGACATACTCGCGAGTGAATAATGAGTCACCACTGATCCTGTTTATCCTGCAGTTGTTGCTTTTTTTTGTTGTCTTCTGTCAGATCACAAAAAAACCACTGCTCAGGAGGTAGAGGTACATTTTATTAAAGTTCATTTTAAAACACTTTAAAACAAATTCATCATTAGTTGTATTTATAAATAACACGAGAAACAATGTGCATAATACATATAACTGACAGGGGGAGGGAGCATCCTGAGAGAAGGACAGTGAACTTCCCATGTCCTTCCACAACCCTCAACCCTAAAAGCACCAGTGGTGGGAACGTCAGCTCTTCAAAAGGAGTCGGATCTTATTGCTTCATTCCTTCCCAAGAGCCACTCAAAAGAACTGCTCATTGTTCCAATTTCATTTGACATGGGAATATATACAATTGGCATTTGCACCAGGGGTCAAATGACGCCACTGACACAGATTTTGATCGGCTCTAGATCATATCAGCAGTGATGGAAATGTGACACCTGGGGGTGAATGTGCTATTGGCGAGTCAGCGAGGTAAGAGGCTGCCTCGGTTTGTGATGCAACAGGTAAGATAACAGAAAGTCAAAGGAGTCAATGGCCTTTTTTCAGTGGGTTTACCTGAGCAGCATGTATAGTTTGAAAACACATTGATGTCAAGTGTCATTTGAAACTTCACGAGGATTACAGTGGTCAGTTTTATTATGACTGTTTTCAAGATGTGTTGATACAATTGACTGGTCATTTTGGAAGCTGCAGTTTGTGGTGCTGTTGAGTGTTGTTGCTATGTTTCTATAATTGTGTCCACCCTGTTAGTATCAGTGAGAGCAGGCTGAATAACAGAAACACCTCTCGGTATATATAAATTTGATGTATATTGTCTATACATTGTCTAAACTACTGGAGTGTCACCATCGGCCCAAAGGAAAAATTACAAATAAACACACTCGTGATTTGATTCTTATTCTGATTGTGAAATACGTAATGTAGTACACAATCCAATCTTTATGACAGTCAGATTTACTGCAGGACTGTTATTTAACTGCACTGCATTTTATATCGCGGCTGTAAATGATAAATGGTCTGTATTTAAATAGAGATTTCCTCATCTTGATGATCCCTCAAAGCTGTTTACACACATTCATACCATGCATCTGCGTGCAGCACTTTCTCCATCAGAACACTTTCTGCGGCTCAGTATCTCGCCCAAGGACACTTGGGCACGTAGAATGGCTGGGATTGAACGGACGATGAAAAGTGTATGGATGTACATATTCTCTGTAATTTTAAATTATATTTCTTGTATTGCCTAGTTTATCCTTATATATACACTGACATTCTGTCTACCTCATTCTGACAATCAGCTGCTGTAAGAAGTGAATTTCCTCAACATGGGATCAATATCTTATCTATGTCTTTCATTATTACCATTGATTATACAGTATTTTATTTATTCCAGTTGTATCATTCTTTTATTAAACTGGCAGTTGAGTGCAGTTTATTATTTAGGCCTCGCTTATAGTGTATAATAGCTACAGACACTGATGCTGTTCTTTAATGAAGATGATCTAGAGTGATTGTTTTTTGACATGTGTGTTGTTGCTATGGGAGCTAATGGTTTTGGATAGATCATTATAAACACGCAGGACGTGGATGTTCACGTAAACGTCTCCGAAATGTCGCCATCTCCTGGACAAATGCACAAACTCACAAAACCCTTTTCTTCTTACGGCCCTCCTCTTCCTGCTCTGTTTTCGCGGGAGTTCTCAGAGTAGGAGGGGCCACGTGGTGACACCGAAGAGTCTATTGGTCGGCTGCACGTTTACGCGCCGACTATGCAAAGCGGCGCTCGTGGGGTCGACCAATCGCGCTTTACGTTTAGCTCGTGCCCGGCACGCTGTGGCGCGAAACCCTCATCAGTTGTGTGGCGGACTGCGGCGGAGAAGACGGCATCGAACCCTGAACAATATATTAGTGCTTTTTACAAGAGGAATCAATAATCGAACATAATGGCGACCGACGTGGTAGATGACCTGGAGATGAGGGAGGCTCAGAGGGATTACCTGGACTTCCTGGATGATGATGTAAGTCTGACTTTAGTCCGGTTACACAGATGAAGTGTGGAGAAACCATGCGGGCACGACAAAAGAAGAAGGTCTCGTTTAATCTCGTGCTCCACTGAGGGTTTCACCACAGCTCGCAGGGTTTGCACGTTGTTATGAAGCCCGGTGTTAAAGTCGGAGTCCTGCACGTTGTGTCAGATTTGAGGCGTCGTGTCTCCCTGAGATCAGAGAATCGTTGTCACCGGAGGAGTTTGGTTGGAAGTGAACAACCATCAACTGTCTGTGTGTTTTCTTTTCTCCACCCTGCAGCAAGACCAGGGCGTTTACCAGAGCAAAGTCCGGGACATGATCGGTGAGAATAAAGCTCGACTCATCGTCAACATCAACGACCTGAGGAGACGCAACGAGGTCCGAGCTGCCAAGTAGGTCTCTCTGTCTCTCTCTCTGTGTGTGTGTGTCTGTCTTTGTGTGTGTGTGTTGGGTTTGATTAAGTGGAGCAACTTGGTACAAAGAGCTGTTCTGAGCATGCGTGGATCCATATGAGTTTTTGTGACTATTCTCACAATTTAGAATGTGTTGCATACAGGAGCGTTTCTAGGGATTTTGGGGCCCTACATCAAACCAAATGGCAACTTTATTTATAAAGCACAGTTCACGACTAAGAAAATCGTGAAAAGCACAACACTTACACCATATAGCAGCACGATGTGTAACATTACTTTTTATTCTATACTGTTTTATTCTGAGTCACAGCAAAACATCATGGTTTCACTTCCAATGTAAATGTTTATGATTGACAGTTAATACATAAAGTGTTCACTATGGAAGCTATAGAGACACATTCCTGTGTCTTGGTGTCTTCTACGTGAAAACAAAAACATTTCTCTCTTTAGTCCATGACCCAAATATTCATTGATTCACCAGACTGATGAAAAACGCCTTTGAGGAGCTGCTCGCTTTCCAGCGGGCACTGAAGGACGTGGTGGCCTCGGTGGACGCCACCTACGCCAAGCAGTATGAGGAGTTCTTCATCGCCCTGGAGGGCAGCTTCGGCTCCATGCACGTCACCCCCCGCACCCTCACGTCCCGTCTGCTGGGCAGCATGGTCTGTGTGGAGGGCATCATCACCAAGTGTAAGTTCTGTATTGATCACCCCCTCCGCCTCTTTTGGGATCTACAGTCTACCCTCTGTAACACCATCTTAAGTCATGTGGTGGTTTTTGAAGAATATTTAGTTATTGTCCCCTACGTGTTTCAGGATGGGCTCATAATAATAGTTATATAATGAGATTCTTAGATTAATTTCCTTCTTTTTCTTCAGGTTCTCTGGTGCGTCCCAAAGTGGTGCGCAGCGTCCACTACTGCCCAGCCACTAAGAAGACGATGGAGAGGAAGTACACAGACATGACCTCCCTGGACGCTTTCCCTTCCAGTGCCATATACCCCACCAAGGTAACTTAGAGGAAATGCTTGTTGATCCATGTGGCGTCAATCAGAAGAAAAGGCTCCAACAAACATGTCAACAAGTCACAAGATCCATACTCGCTTTATTCCTCTCCTAATAGGACGAGGAGAACAACCCACTGGAGACGGAGTTTGGTTTGTCCATCTACAAGGACCACCAGACCATCACGGTGCAGGAGATGCCAGAGAAGGCGCCCGCTGGCCAGCTCCCCCGATCCGTGGACATCATCCTGGACAACGACCTGGTGGACGTGGTCAAACCAGGAGACAGAGTGCAGGTGATCGGGACGTACCGCTGTCTGCCTGGAAAGAAGGGAGGATTCACCTCCGGCACGTTCCGGTGAGACACCAGCTCGTATGTTAACTGTCGCAGCTGCAGCTGTCATCCGCCTGTGTCTCACGAATTTTGCAACCCTTCCTTTCTCAGGACCATCATGATCGCCTGCCACGTCAAACAGATGAGCAAGGAGGTGTCCCCGTCCTTCTCTGCTGATGATGTGGCCAAAATCAGGAACTTCAGCCAGAGTCGCTCCATAGTAAGACTTCGTGCTCTCATTTGTACACGAAAAGCAAGTAAGTCTAACACGAGAAGATTCAAAACCTCTTCTGCTTTCACACAGGATGTGTTCGACCAGCTGTCTCGCTCCCTGGCTCCCAGTATTCACGGACACCAGTACATCAAGAAGGCCATCCTGTGCATGCTGCTCGGTGGCGTGGAGAAGGTGCTGGAAAACGGCTCCCGCATCAGAGGAGACATCAACGTCCTCCTCATTGGTACCAGCGTGCTCCCTGCCAATGTTCTCATTCAAGCTTGAGTCGAACGTCAGATTGATGTCGTCGTGCATTTTGCTTTGTTTTGATCAGGTGATCCATCAGTGGCCAAGTCCCAGCTGCTGCGTTACGTTCTCCACACAGCACCCAGAGCCATCCCCACCACTGGACGAGGCTCCTCTGGTGTGGGTCTGACCGCTGCCGTCACCACCGACCAGGAGACCGGTACGACACACAGATACATCCACTGGCCCACAAATGTACTGTAGATCTTAAAGTTTCGGTTCTGACCAGAGCATGTGACCTCATCTTTTCTCCATTAGGTGAACGCCGTCTGGAGGCAGGCGCCATGGTTCTGGCCGACCGGGGCGTGGTGTGCATTGACGAGTTCGACAAGATGTCCGACATGGACCGTACGGCCATCCACGAGGTGATGGAGCAGGGCCGCGTCACCATCGCCAAGGCTGGGATCCACGCCCGCCTCAATGCTCGCTGCTCCGTACTGGCAGCTGCCAACCCCGTCTATGGCAGGGTAGGTCACCACATAACAGCTAATGTGTGATGCAGCTGCTGCTCTGGTTTTTTTTTTTTTTTCCTTCATCCAAAACTCTCCTTTCCTCGTCTTCACAGTACGACCAGTATAAAACCCCCATGGAGAACATCGGCCTGCAGGACTCGCTGCTGTCACGTTTCGACCTCCTCTTCATCGTGCTGGATCAGATGGACCCCGAGCAGGACCGCGAGATCTCCGACCACGTGCTGAGGATGCACCGCTACCGTGACCCCCGCGAGCAGGATGGAGCAGGTACTGTGAATCAGGCCTGTTCTGTTTTAACAAGTTAATACTTATTTAAAAATGTCAAATGATGCATTTCATCGTTTTCTGCTGTTTTAGCCATGGCACTGGGCGGGAGCGTAGACGTCCTGGCTACAGAGGACCCAGACGCTATAGTAGAGGAGCACGAGGAGCTGCAGATCTATGAGAAGCATAACAACCTGCTGCATGGGAGCAAGAGGAAGAAGTATGCACACACACCTCTGTCCTGGAACAATGGAAACACACCACAAACGTTTATCCTCTGTAGACGCCATGAGCTTGTGTAAAAAAAAAACATTGGGTTAAATGAATCATTCTTTTGTTTCAGGGATAAGATCGTGAGTAAGGAATTCATGAGGAAGTACATCCACATCGCCAAGGGTGTGACGCCTGTGCTGACGGAGGAGGCTGCCAATCACATCGCAGAGGAGTACTCAAGACTGAGGAGCCAGGAGCAGCTGGCTGCTGATATCGCCAGGGTGAGCCGGAGCAGGAACTGCAACTCTTAGATGTGCACCACGTTTTTAGTGGATGCACTGACTTATAATCAATCACTGCGTGATGTGTACTCAATGCTGAGGAGGCCCCACTGTGGAGTTGCAGATGAAAGGTGTTTCTTAGCTTTTCTAAGCACAAAACAGCTCGTGCCATACGCATTACTCTGGACTCCCCCAGCTTGATGTAGCAGTATGACGCAGGAGAGCAGGACGATCAGTCGGATATCACAGTGTCTTTTCTCACCCGTGTTTCATGATTAAACCTAATTGGGGACCGGTCGAGAGTTTCTCCTGGTGAAAACACTAGAATAATGACATTAAGTACCTCCCCTCACTATTGGCAGTGGCAACATGACGTCCCGGCACACATCATTTTCTGCATCATAAGGTTTACTCTTATTAATGGCACACGCCTGGAGGTGACAAAATAATATGAACAGTTCTCAGTTCAAGTGAGTCTGTATCATACAGGATGTAGCAGTTCATGGTTGGCCACTATTTGTACTTAAATGTTTTCATTGTGCTTTTTTAAAGTCGTGCAAACAAGTTGTGGCAGCTTAACTCACAGTGTAACATCACGTGAGCAACCAGTGATGTGACTCTGACATCAGTTCCTCTTCTCCTCAGACTTCCCCGGTGACGGCCCGAACACTGGAGACGCTGATCCGTCTGTCCACAGCTCACGCCAAGGCCCGCATGAGCAAAGCGGTGGAGATGGAGGACTCGGAAGTGGCCGTGGAGCTCGTCCAGTTTGCCTACTTTAAAAAGGTGTGTGCTGCTCTGTGGATCTTAACAATGCAGTGAGATTAGTTTTTACACAGCAAAAGGGGACTGAAGATTTCAACAGTAACATGTCGTTCTGTTCTGTTCAGGTTCTGGAGAAGGAGAAGAAGCGTTCGAGAAAGGAGCGAGACTCCGGCTCGGAAGAGGAGGAGGAGGAGGAGGAGACGTCCACTCAGCGTTCCCAGAGAACTCAGAGGAAGAGGTAAACAGTTGTTGAAGCACTGCTGAACAACACTCCCTTCTCCTGGCTTACTTTCTCTTCCATTTCTGTTAGTAATCATTGATAATATCCTGTGTCCTGCAGGGGGCGCCATAGTTCTCAGGGAACTGAGGCCTACAGCCCATATGACTTCAGTGAAGAGCAGAACGTCCCTGAGAGTAAGCTACAGTTTTTTTTATTTTTTTTACCATGGGACAGTTTTTTATCTGTTCTTGTGTTTTTATAAAAATGTGTCTAAATCTATATCTTTCTAAATCATATGTTTATATCTGATCTTACATTTTATTTCACTGATAAGATTTGTGAAATTGTGCAATTGATCAAATGGTTTACTCATTTGATTATCATACCCACAATGCCCTTGGTTTCACTATGTGGTCACGGACTATATCTGATCCAAGCTGACTGAAAAAACATTTCAAATAGAAATACTAGAAACAGGAGTGACAGGCAAAAAC